CCAGCCCATGTGACAGTATGAGACCCAGACTGAAAAAAAAAAAGTTTTATTCCTTTAATATTTACATTCAGATCTTTGATCCATTTTGAGTTAATATTTGTATCTGGTGTGTGGTAGAGATCCAACTTCATTCCTTTGCATGTGGATATCCAGTTGTTTTAGCACCATTTGTTCAAAAGATTATTTTATTCTTTCTCCATTGATTTGTCTTGGCAACCTTGTTGGAAATCAGTTGACCATAAATGTGAGGATTTATTTCTGTATTCTCAATGCCACCATTGATTTATATGTCTGTCATTCTGCTAGTACCCTCTTGTTATTTTTGTTGCTGAAAACAAGATGAAATTATTACAGTCTAAAGCAAAAGTATCAGACATAATATGTCTCAACTCTATATATCTTTTTTAGCATAAATAATTGACACCAGATTTTTTATTTTTATTTTTTAAGATGGAGTCTCACTCTGTCCCCCAGGTTGGAGTACAGTGGCATGATCATAAATCACTGTAAGCTCAAACTCCTGGGTTCAAGCAGTCCTTCAACCTCAGCCTCCCAAGTAGCTGGGACTACAGGCACGAACCACCATACCTAGCTAATTAAAAAAATTTTTTTTGTAGAGATACTATGTTGCCTAGACTCATCTCAAACTTTTAGGCTCAAGTGATCCTCCTACCTTGGCTTTTAGAAGTATTGGGATTATAGATGTGAGCCACTGTTTGGCCCTGATTCATTTCCTTTTCTTTTTTTTTGAGACAGAGTTTTGTTTTGTTGCCCAGGCTGGAGTGCAGTGGTGTGATCTTGGCTCACTGCAACCTCTGCCTCCTGGGTTCAAGCGATTCTCTACCTCAACCCCCTGAGTAACTGGGATTACAGGCACATACCCCCATGCCTGGCTAAGTTTTGTATTTTTAGTAGAGACCGGGTTTCACCGTGTTGGCCAGGCTGGTCTCAAACTCCTGACCTCAGCTGATCACCCTCCTTGGCCTCCCAAAATACTGGGATTACAGGCATGAGCCACTGTGCTCACCCCGTTTCTTTTTCTTTTATTTTTTCTTCCTGAGTTGGAGTCTTGCTCTGTCACCCAGGCTGGAGTGTAGTGGCGCAATCTTGGCTTACTGCAACCTCTGCCTCCCGAGTTAAAGCGATTCTCCTGCCTCAGCTCTTGAGTAGCTCGGATTGCAGGCATGTGCCACCATGCCAGGCTCATTTCTGAATTTTAGTAGAGATGGGTTTTACCATGTTGATGAGGCTGGTCTCGAACTCCTGACCCTGTGATCCGCCCGCCCCAGCCTCCCAAAGGGTTGGGATTACAGGCATGAGCCACCGTGCCTGGCCCATTTCTTAAATTATATAATTACTATGTTAACCTTTAGAATTACCTATAAACCCTTATAATGGAAAATGAACCTAGAAGAACCATTTTAACAGAAAAATAAACTGGTAGTTTTTTACTTTTGGTGAATGGTAACAAAGTCAATTCTGTAGCCTTGAATTGACTCACAAGCATTCTAGATAGATTAAATAACAGTAAGCAAAGTACAAATGGCCATGTAAAACAAACAAATTCCAACAGACAAATACTGGAGCAGTCTGTGTAAGAATTTATTCACATTTATTTTACTTTGTAGTTCATGTTTTGGTGATACTTAATGAAATGCAGCATTGGCATTTGCAGTTACGATACTGGATATGTGATACAGACTTCATGTATCAGTAAATTTGTTGTGTTGGGCATTGTTGCTTGCTATGATATAGTTTTTGTGTGTTTGTTTTTCTTCAGTATTAGTAATGTTTCTATTGCTGTATAACAAACCTCCTTAACGACATTTATTTTGTTCCTGAGTCTACAATTTGGTTGGGCTTGGCAGGGACAATTTGCTGTTGCTGCTCTCCAACATCTTGGGCCTTAGCTGGAGTGACTCAAATTGTTGAGGGATGGAACAGCTGGGGACTAGTGAGTTGTCTTTCCCTCTCTTCTCCCCTCATAGAGTCTCAAGTCTTCTTCACTGTGCTATTTCTTTTCTTTTCTTTTTAGGCAGAGCCTTGCTCTGTCTCCTAGGCTAGAGTGCAGTAGTGCAGTCTTGGCTTACTGCAGCCTCCACTCCTGGGTTCAAGCGATTCTCCTGCCTCAGCCTTCCAAGTAGCTAGGATTATAGGTGTGTCACCACACCTGGCTGATTTTTGTATTTTTAGTAGAGACAGGGTTTTGCCATGTTGGCCAGGCTTGTCTCAAACTCCTGACCTCAAGTGATCCACCCGCCTTGGCCTCCGAAATTGTTGGGATTACTGGTGTGAGCCACCACACCTGGCCTCCACTGCCCTATTTCTGTGTGGTCTCTTCATCATGGCAGCCTTAGGGTAGCTGGACTTTTTTCACTCAGGAATCCTAGAGCAAGTGACAGGAGACGAAAGCAGAAGTCATAAGGCTTCTTCCTGTCCATCCTTGGAAGGCTCGTGGTGTCCGTTCTGCTGCATTCTACTTCTGACAAGTGAGTCACAGTGTAAGGGACTACTCAAGGGTCTGAACATGAGGCCAGGCTCACCTGGTACCTATCTCTGGAGTCAGGCTGCCAGAGCCTATAGCTCTGTTTTTCTGCTGGGTTTCATATATGGTCCGCAGTTATTTACATGAATAATGCTTTCCCCTGAAAAGCTACCTAAAAGCTATCTTTAGTGTTTATGATGTCAAATGCTTACTTGGTTCCTTTTTCTCCTAAAATATTTCTTTAGTAAAACTAGAATGTGTCATATTCTGGGAAATGTACCTATCAGGTTAAAATTCATTAACCAAAGAAGGTAAGTTTGTGTCAGTAAAAGGTTCTGTTCTCAATAAAGTTATGGCTATCATGAAAGTATGTACCCGAAGACACAGCACCAATGATGTGGCCAAATGCTGCAAAGACAAGTAGAAAGGGGAAAAACTCTGTTAGGTTTAGTAGACTTTAATATTCCTCTTTTGGTCCGTCTCAGACCAGGTGAACAAAAATAAATAGGAATGTCAAAGATCTGAGTTCATGAAGTTGGTCTGGGAGCATAGATGAAATTTTATTTTCTGCATAAGATTACATCTGATCAAAGGCAGAACAAGTAAGTGACAAAACTCAGCTTCCATTTGTGATAATTCTTAGCAAACTAAGAACAGATGAAGACTTCTTTAAACTGATAAAGGGTATCTACCAGAAACACATCAGACACCACATTAACTGTGAGTTTTTAGAAGCATTTCTATTAAAATCAGGAGGAAGACAAGGCTCCTGGCCAGTCTCTCTTCCACCTGGGTCTGGTCATTTGGCTCAGAAATCTTAGTCACTTTGAATCATGCTTTACTGCCAGATCCAACTAAAGAAAACTTTTACAAACCAACATACTTGGATCACTGGATACTGACAGGTATTCGGAAATGTCGACGGAGCCAGTGGTGGCTGCAGCACTGTCCACTGGGAGCAGTGTGATTACTTGGTTTAGTCTTTACGCGGATTCACAGGGCCTCAGGCATGAAGAAATAGGGTACTTGCTGATCCACAATGGAACATAAAATTGAGAAAAGTTTTCTTCAAAATCAGTTTTTATAGTCTTTTTTGACTGCATATAATTTCAGTTTTGTATCATGGCTAAAACTTATTAGCAAATATAGATCAAATATTCCTTATCTGAAATGCTTGGGACCAGAAGTGTTTCGGATTTTGGAATACTTGCATTATACCTGCTCATTCAACACTTTAATTCAAAGATCTGAAATCTGTAATGCTCTGTGAGCGTGACCTTTGTGCATCTTGTCAGTGCTCAAAAATGTTAGATTTTGGAGCATTTTGGTTTTTGGGTTTTCGGATTATGGATGTTATTAAAAGTGAATTTACACATCCTCAGTCCCAGATAAGATAATCAGCCCTCCCTTATGTTTGGACCCTAACTGCCCACAGTTGTTTAATGCAGTACTCTGGAGCAGTACTCAGGGACTGCAGACATGCTTAGATTCCAGGGCTCTGTTTCACTCTTTAGGCACTTGCTAATCATAGTGCACATAATTTACTGTTTCAGTAGCTTTTGTGATTGTCAGTGATCCTTTCTGGGCTGTCATTTTTGTTGATACTTTTTTTTTTTTTTGAGACAGGGCCTTGCTCTGTTACCCAGACTGGAATGCAGTGACAAGATCATGGCTCACTGCAACCTCTACCTCTTGGGCTCAAGCAATCCTTCTGCCTTCACCTCCTGAATAGCTAGGACTACAGGTGTGCACCACCATGCCTGGGTAATTTTTAAATTCTTTGTAGAGATAGGGTCTTGTTATGTTGCCCAGGCTGGTCTTGAACTTGTAGCCTCAAGGGATCCTCCCACCTCAGTCTCCCAAAATGTTGGGATTACAGTTGTGAGCCACGATGCCTAGCAATTTCATTTTTAAAAGCTTCATTGTCAGCTGTGTTTTTATTAGGTCTTTTAGGAGAAAAACAGCAGTAAATACTCTGTTCTGCACAAAATTTTCTTTTTTTTCTTCTTTTTTTCTTTATTGATTAGCAAATATTCCAATCAATACATTATGAAATGTAGTCTTTTGTAGACACATCTTGTACAAACAGCATTCTCCCTTTGTCTGCTAATTTTAATTTTTATAGTGTTTTGTCATATAGAATTAATTGTTTTACATTCTGATTGGCCAATCTTTTATAGGCTCTGGTTAAGAATTATTGTAAGAAGACTATCCAATATGATATTTAAACAAAAGGTCACAAAGTATTTTCAATGAGTGTTCTTATTGGGTAGGTGGCATTACGGGTCCTGAAAATGATCTGTAAGGCAGCTGACTTAGGTAGACTGTACAGTGATGTCTAGTCTCAAGGAATGCCATAAAATGTTGGATTTTATAATTTCTAAAATTACACTTGAAGTTCTGGGGTACATGGGCAGATCGTGCAGGTTTGTTACATTGGTATACACATCTGCACAACATTTTCTAGGGTCTGGTCTTCATGATCTTGATGCTTTGTTTCATCTTTCTGTTGCAGATGTTGCTGCCATAGCATGTGGCCGTGAATTCTTGGTTAATTCAAGCCGAGTGCTCTTGGACACCATATTGCAGCTTCTGGGAGACTTGAAGCCAGGACAGTGTACCAAACTCAAAGTGTATGGTGGATAATGTTGAAAAGTTAATTCTATTTACCATTCATTAGAATGTGCTGATTGGGCCTTTCTTCAAGTAAACACAGTTAATTTTGGCGGTAGTTCTAAAAATCAGAGGAAATAAATTGCCTGGAGAAGTTAAGGGGGTGCACTCTCTTAAACAGCATTTTAGAAAAACAAATTTAAGGAAGGAATGTACTCACCTTAGAGCAATTAGTGAGCCCCAAATTCTATCACATGATACGTCATGGTTATGTCAAAGTGAATTTAAATAAGGTCTTTGTTATGGTAGCACTCCACTTCCAGGTACTAAAATCTGTATTGTTTTCTATTGTCATGTAACAAATTATTACCAACCTGGTGGCTAAACCAACACCATTTATTATTTCATAGTTTGGTAAGTCAAAAGTCTGAGTGGGTTTGAAGGGTTCTCTGCATAGGCCAGAATTGAGGTGTTTTCCAGGCTGGGATCTTTTCGGAGACTCTTGGGGAGGAATCTGCTTCTGGGCACTTTGAAGTTGCTGGCGGAGTCCAGTGTCTTGGTTTCAGGACCGAGTTCCCTTGTCCTGAATGGCTGGGCGGCTGTGGGTCAGCTGCTGGTGCTGCTTGCATTCCTTCGCACGTGGGCCCGTCTTCAAGCCACAGTCGCTCACTGAGTCCTTCTGACGTTTCCAGTCTCAGACTTCCTCTTCTGCTACCAGCAAGATGAAACTCTGTCTGCTTTTATTCTGTTGTTAAAAATTTTACTTCAAGAAGGCAAACTCTCTGCTTCATATGGATTTGTGTGTTTAGATTAGGCATACCTGGATAAACTCCTTTTGATAAACTCTTGAGTCAGCTGGTTAGTAACCCTTAATTACATCCACAGAATCCCCTTTTCCAGGCAATGACGTAGTCAGCGTGTGATAATTTATAGTCCCAGAGATTAGGGCAGGAAATCGTGGGGAGAGGGAGCAGTGTAGGATTCTGCCACTCACACCATTCATTCTGAGTGTTGCCTTTGACTTCTTAGAGCATCTTAATTTTTTTATTTTTATTTTTAAAGAGACCGGGTCTCTACATACATTGCTCAGGCTGGCCTCGAACTCCTAGGCGTTCCAAGTATTCCTTCCACCTCAGCCTCCTGAGTAGCTGGACTGTAGGTGTGTGCCACCATGCCATGCTGTGGGGCACTTTTTAAAAGTAAGAGCTTCTGTAAAGTCTGTGCCAGATGCTTCCAACATCTGTATCATCCTGGCCTTGGTGTCTTGATGGTTTTCTCCTATGTGAGTTGAGATTTCCTGTTTCTTTGTATGCCAAGTAATTTTGGATTTATCGTGGACATTTATGTGATCACTGGTCTTGTTGAAATCCTTGGAAAATGCTGATGTTTATATTTTCACAGGCAGTCAACCCCTTTGGGTCAGATTCCAACCAGCCTTTTCTGTTTGGTTTCCTGGGCCAGTCCTGTTTTCAAAGAGCCTTTACAGAGCTATTGGAACTGCCCCCATGAGTGCCGCCCAATGGCCAGTCTGAGAGCTGGATGATCGGAGCTGCAGTTCTGAATCTTTCAGATGCTGTTTGTGATCAGATCCACACAGCCACACCTTGGGATGAGGCCAGGAGTTTATAAACAACTTTGTGGGGTCACTTTTCTGAGCTGTTAACTCTCTGGGTACGTTTTAGTTAAAGTCCCTCACCTGGAATACTGGGGCTTCATATACCCTGCAGTGTCCAAGCGCCTGTGATTCTGCCCTCGTCCGGCCCTGCAGCAGGGGTTAAGAAGGTCATGGAGCTTTCAAGTGTAAGGAAAATTCGTTTCCCACAGAGTTTGAGTTACCCAGGGATGCCGCCACCGCCACTGTGCGTGGTTGCCGGCAGAAGACCCCTTTCCCGCTCCTGGAGCCTCACTAGAGACCTTCTCCTGGTGCTCTCCATGTGGCTCAGTGCTACTTCTGGCTTTTGGAGCTCCCGTGAGTCCAGGCCAGGCATACTAGAGGAAAAAGTGGTAAACTCACTGCTGCTTTAGTGGTTCTTAAATTTTGATCTTCTTGCCTATCCGCCTGCTACTGTTCACTTTTCAGAGTCCTCAAATAGCTGCTTCATATATTCTTGTTGGAATTTATAGCTGCTTTCAGTGGAAGCAAGACTGGAGGGTGTGTTTAGGCCATCTTATCCAGAACCAGACTTTCTAGTCAATGTTAGTATTTTGTACTAAAAATTATATGCACTTAAATAATTCATATAATATAGTGTAATATATATGCATATGTAGTTTTATTTTTTTGAGGCAGAGAATGCTCATTTTTAAAGGCTGTTTCTCTTCCGGTCTCATGCAAAAATTTTTCCTCCTTGAAAATTCAAGCAACTAATTGCTCCCTCACATCCAGCCTTTCTCATCACTGCAGTTTTCTGACCATCCAGACACTTCCCTTGTTCACTGGGTACTGGCTTGTTGGCGTTCCCGTCCCCATTTCCTGTTATCTTGAGTGACTTGAACATGTTTAGGGGTGATTCATTTAACAATCTAATTTCAAGGTCGACTGCCTTTCTCAGTTCCCCAGATTTGATGTGCCTTTGACTGTGGCAGTTGTCTGCCTTGGGCCAGATGCTGCACATGGGCATGAGGTGGACTGTCTGGTAGATACTGCTGTGACGCTCAGGCCATACCTCCTTTCCTCCCTGCCTCCCTGTCTACCATTGTGCCCTCTAAACTGCAAGACCGCCACTAGCACCTCTCCCTCCTCCTCCTCCTCCTCCTCCTCCGCCTCACCCCATTGCCCGCATGGCCTCCTTCCCTCTAGCCCACCAGCCCCAGTGTGGCTCACGTTTCCTGACGCTTTCGGCCTTGGGCCAGCCCAGCCATCCTCCTCCTCTGCTCCTACAGCTGGGACTGCCTGGTGAGGTTTGGGAAGAAGCTGCCTTGTGTGCACAGACTCCTGTCATTCATCCTGGTCTCCAGCCCCCCGGGGGTCCTCCTCTGTATCCTTACTCAGCTCCCACTCACTTCCATAGTGCTGGAGACAGACCTTGGTGCGGCCCTCACGGCCTCCCTGCTCTGCCCTTCCCGTGCAGGTGGGCAGCCCAGCAAGCGGCTTTACTTCCTGCCGCACAGGGTGAAGCGGCGAGTGTGGCTGCCTCAGCTTGGCCTTCCCGTGTTTATTCCACTCACCTTTGCTTTCTCCTCTCGTGTCAGAGGCACATATGGCTGGGATGTGTGTGTGTGGTGTGGATGTGAGTGCATATGTGCGGGGGGTGTGTGTGCAGGGGTTGGGATGTATTTTGTGTGTGGTGTATGTGGATGTGGGTGTTTTGGGGGTGTCTGGTGTGCATTTGGTATGTGTTTTTGTGGGGCATGTTTATGGTATCTGAGGGAATGTGTGTGTGGTGTGTGTGTATGTATATGTTGGGGGGAGGTGGGTGTCATGTGTATGACTGTGTGCTATGTTTGTGTATGTGGGACTAGGGATTTGGATGAGTGTATTTTGTGTGAGGGGAAGATGTGGGTGTGGTATGCATCTTGTGTGTGTGGCTGAGTATGTGTGTATGTGGGGAAGATGTGTTTGTGTGGTATGTGTATATTGGATGTTTATGGTGTGTATATGTGGAGGGTATGGGGTATATGTGTTTGTGGGATGTGTGTGTGGGGTATATGTGGGTGTGTGGTGTGAGTGTGGGCTGTGTGTGAGGGTGTTTGGGGGTGTGTGTGGAGTCGGGGGAAGTGTGTGGAATGTGTGTGGGGAATGTGGGTGCGTGTGTGGTATGTGGTGTGTGTGGTGTGTGGGTATGTGGTGTGTATGGTGTGGGTGTGTGGGCTCTGTCAGCCAAGGCTGGGACAGTTCGTGCAGTCAGCTGGTATGTGGTGTATGTGATTGTGTGTGGTGTGGTATGTGTGTGGTGTGTGATGTGTGTGGCGTGTGTGATGTGTGGTGTGTGTGTGGTGTGTGTTGGTGTATGTTGGTGGGTGTGTGGTATGTATGGTGTGGTGTGTGTGGTGTGTGTGGTTGTGTGGTGTGTGTGTTGGTGTGTGTGTGGTATGTGTGGTGTGGGTGTGGTGGGTGTGTGGTGGCTGTGGGTGTATGGTGTGGTGTGTGGTGTGTGTGGTGTTTGGGTATGTGTGGTGTATGTGGTATGTGTGTGGTATGTGGTGAGTGTGTGGTGTGATGTGTGTGTGATATGTGTGTGGTATGTGTGATGTGTGTGTGGTGTGCATGCAGTGTGGTGTGGGTGTGGGGTGTGTTGGTGTGTGGTGTGGTGTGAGTGGTGTGTGTGGTATGTGGGTGGTGTGTGTGGTGTGTGATGTGTGTGTGTGGTGTCTGATTTGTGTGTGGTGTGTGAGTGGGTGGTGTGTGACTGGGTGGTGTGTGATTGTGTGTGGTGTGATTTGTGTGCGGTGTATGTGTGGTGTGTGGGTGGTATGTTTGTGTGTGTATAGTGTGTGAGTGGGTGGTGTGTGATTGTGTGTGGTGTCTGTGATGTGTGTGTGGTGTGTGTGGTTGTGTGTGTGGTATGTGGGTGGGTGGTGTGTGATGTGTGTGTGTGGTGTCTATGATGTGTGGGGGTGTGTGTGTATGTGTGTGATCCTCCTGCCTGTGTGTTGAGCCTTCCTCTGGGATGTGCCCTGGTGGCTGTCACCTCTTGCTCTGGCGTTTTCCAATGCCCCTCTCTACTGGCTCCTGTTTTGTCTCCCAGGCCATGGCCACTGTTTCAAACCGCTTGCTGACCTGGGTTTACCATGACATGTTGTATTTTCCCAGAATGCAGAGTTGGCTCATGGCGTGTTCCCTTTGCCTCCCCCTGAAGTCCCTGTGGACCATGCAAGTTGGATGCAATTCTGCCATTGGGCCACATGGCCATCTCTTTTGTGGCAAACACTCAAAGGGTCATACGTGGGACATTGCTGTGACTTGGCCTCTGTGAGTTCTCAGTGGCATAGCCTCCCCAGCCATATGGTTTCAGGCTATTCCTAGTTTACCTACCTTTTTAATGAAGACCCTGTTTTTAACTCTCCAAATCTAGGAACT